TACATTTTTCTTGACTATTTTGGGATAGTCTTTTTCATTTTTTCCATTTAGGCATTTAGCCCACCCCCATTTAGGTTAAGGTTATCCCCTTCTCCCTCAAGAATTAATTTACACCTTATATATCTGCAGTCAGTAGATGATATATCAGGATATATCATGGATTCATGGTTATCATACACCTAGCAATCTAGCATCCTTTTGAGGAAAATTGGTAACTGTTATGTTCAAATAAGCATACTTTAGAGGAAATAATCAGAATAACAAAAAACATGAACACGAGCAGGCTTATAAGAATATGAGCATTTTAGATGAAAAATTAGCAACCATTAAAAATTACACTAAAATGCTACTAGTTGTAAGTATCCTGAACATATGCACATATGGTATAATTTGCATTATATTTGTGAGCTATAACTGAAAAGTTACATGTGATAACTGCCATGTGAATTACATGGTTGATAATGAAAGATTGACAAAACTGTAGGGATAAACATTTCCCATTTTTGTTTTGCTTTACTTTTCCACAGTGATAAATGCAGTCTCAAAATCTAAATGTTTGAACTGGAAAGTAAAATCATCAAAACTACCATGTAAGTTAGGAGTACTTGATTTTCAAGTAGCATATTTACTGGGTTCTTCTTAATCATTACAATAAACCATCAATAGTTGTTTTCAAGTATAGCTCAGGCCTATTTTTTAAAGAATAGTTGTTTTAAAGAATGAAAAGAGAAGCGGGTTTACCTACCAGTAGCCAGTAGGAATTCATGTTATCAGATTGTGTTTAGGTTTAGGCCATAGTATTGTACTTTGTTTAACTGTGTTGGGTAGTGCTATCGTGTAAGTTCAACAGCCTGTTCTCCCTCTGGGGTTTTCAGCCATAGCTATATATGAGGTTGATATTGAACGATAGAATTTTATGGATTATAATTTCTCATTTTTTATTTGCTTTGCTTTTCCGTAGTAATAAATGCAGTCTCAAAACCCCAATGTTTGAATGGGGCCTCTCTCTCCCTAAGATATTAACTCTATCTGAACAGGTAGCTGCAAATTATGTTGCAATGGTTCCATCTGGCCAAATATTTGACAGGTAATGATTATTTACATAAATATTTGTTCCAACGTCTGTGTAAAATCATTATTCTTCATGCCGCATTCAACACCCTAACCTGAGTTTTTCACATGTGCCTTCAAATTATAGAAATAGTAATTTAATTGTCATGTCATGGCTGCATTTTGATAGTATTGCAGTTACCTTTTCTTAGTAGCTCTAAGCGTTAGAGTTATATGATTTCCTTTAGGTTTAAGGTTTAAGTTTCCTATTCTGATGGGGTTTAGGTACATTATTCTCGATTTAAGCATTGTAAAAGTCTCTAGGAATTATGCAGTTGCAAGTTCAGAGTTATGTTAATAAAAGTAGCACTATATGTATATTATTCAAGATGTGCAATGGATAAGCATGAAAAATATGTATGCAAGTCATTTCATTTTCCTAGTCCCACATCCTTTTAGTGATTCTTAAAATGTTTATGAATTCATAGTTCACTGGAGAAGAGGCAAGTTTACATTTTCCGGGTCGGCTCTGGTCAGGTGAGATTATCAGTGTTTGCATTCACATTTCACATTTTTCTTCCTCTTTCCTTCGTATATAGTTTGACATTTCGGAAGAGTGTTCCTAAAATGCTTGTTGGCTTGTTGCATTTTGTACTATTATAAATTCCATAATTGAAATTAGAATGTGTGAAATACTGTAATTCACTTCAAATAGTAATCAATGAAAAATGTCTTCAGAACTTAATGAATGTATTCCATTTTACCACAATATCCATCAATTTGTGTTGTGTATAGGTCATCAAGGGGCTAGACGAAGGGATCCTCAGCATGAAAGTCGGAGGAAAACGCCGCCTCTACATCCCCGGACCAGTTAAGATTATCCAACTTTCTTCTGTTTTCAGATAATGCATTTATGTCATTATAATTACTATTGTACGGCAAATGTAACCATAACTCCTAAGAATATGAATTTGTTCACTGGGACTTGTTGAAGTCTCAAACTAGACCAAAGTTAAATAATAAGTAGTAATAATAAAACAACATAATATACGTAATACATAATATCAAACAGAAATAGACCACGCCAGGATAAACTAGACTTGAACAAGACACAGACATATCAGAAAAGATATAGAAAGCCCGACTTAAACGCATCCGAGAACAAATAGACAAGGCTTACACAGTTCAGACTAGACAAGTTGACAAAATAATCAGGTCCTTTAGTTTAGACATTAATGATGAGAAAGGGTTGGTTGAGTACGTGAACTTGCAAGAGGTAGAGTAAATAGTACACTATGTTGCATTTGACATTCGTAAGTACACGAAGTCAGTTTTTTAGTGTTAATTGAGTACACTCGTTAGATTAAGCTTCAGGAAGTCGACCAAAAAGGGAAAGTTGACCTTCAGAGGTCGACTTGCGGGGGGCGTCGACCTACGGGGTGCATCGATCAAGGGGAATTCGATTTGTGGGGGACTGACGTCGACCAAGGGAAAGTCGACAATGTGGCTGGGGGCTGGCGTTGACCTTCATAATGTCTACCTATTATCCAACTCAGACGTATTAACGTGTTAATCTAATGGGTGTACTCAATTAACACTAAAAAACGAGTTTGTGTACTTGGAAATATTAGATGCAATATAGTGTGCTCTTTACCCCACCTCATACAAGTTAATGTACTCAATTGACCCTTTCCTCCATTAATGATCATGAAACTTTCTATGCAATTTTCAAGAATTAGACAATTTTCTGTGAAAGAGGATTCTTAGTTGAAATATTTGTAGTTGTAGTGCTAACTGCAAAGCATAGAGAATATTTATCAATGGTTTAATTAGTTTGTGAAAATCATCAAGAATATTTCTCAAGTTTCTTAAATGATATCCCTAAGGTCGTTAAACAACACTGTTGCCCTATGATTAAGTGAATCCCTTGTTATAGTTAGAGCCAGGTTGTCAACTTAAGGATCTTTCTCTGGAAGCAAAACACTTGTTATAGTTCCTCTGGCTAATCGACTAACACTAGGGTGTTAGTGAATTTATTTATGCTGATACCAACTTTTATCCTTTTTTTTATAGCTGGCATTTCCGAAGGGTCTGACATCAGCTCCGGGAAGGCCACGTGTGCCTCCGAGCAGCCCAGTTATCTTCGATGTGAGTCTAGAGTACATTCCCGGACTCGAGGACGAGGAGTAAGGTCATTCGGCATTTACTCATCGCATGGCGCTACTCCCCATTCATTTTTTTTATATCCAGAAGCAATTTCATGTAAACCTGAGGGAACGAACATTGCAACCCCCAACTTTGTCTCACCACCGAACAGAAGTTGAAAAAAAGTCCCTATCTCCCCAACTTGTTTTGAAAAAAAAGTAGAAAGCATTCATTTAGCAACTATGATGTGCAAACATACATAAATTAAATATGCATAGTTTATAGTTACATACAGGAAAGAGTTCAAATAAAAAGACTTCTTCCCGTGCAAAGTGCAAAGATATACACTTTTTCGTGTTTCATATTTTGTGCGAACATATTTAGGAAAGTGTCACCGCGATTTTGGCCGAATTTTGTGCATTTTTGGCTCATTTTGAATCATTATATTTGAAAATAAATGCACAAGATTTATTCTCACTTTGCATGAGAAGAGGTCTTTTATTTGAATCATCCCAGTTACATACCTGATACATATCACTTCGCCTTTGGTCATGCCATAATTTATCGAAAAAAACGCACGCATGTTTCTAAAAAGTGTGTCTAGTTTCTACTCTATAATTTATTTAAAATAACGCACACATGTTTGTAAAAAGTGTCTACGTGTTCAATACTAAGATGAGAATATAAAATGATGGATGTGTTTTTTTGTAATATGGAAAATATATGAGCAATAATGGTTATTTTCTAAAAATAATGCATTTATACCCAAAAATCAATTGCGTAGTACAAAGTACTCCCTCTGTCCCCTTTTAAATATTCCGTTTTACTATATTGAGATGTCTCTATTTAATTGTTTCATACTCCCTCTGTCCCATTTTACCCGTCCTACTTTCCTTTTTGGGTTGTCCCAAAATAAGTGTCTCCTTTCCTTTTTTGGAAAGAAATATGTGGTCTACATCATTTCACTTTATTCTACTCAAACATCAACCACAACTTTTACCTTTTCAATCAATTCATTAATAATCATGCCAAGTCAAACTAAGACACATAAAATGGGACAGAGGTAGTACCTTATTTGGTAAAGTTTGTGTGGCTCAAAATTATTCTTACTTTATTCTTACTTTATCAATTACTACCAACCACAAAAACCCACTTTCTTAAAACTCATGTCACCCTCTTCCGGGACATTTAAAAGGGATGGCGGGAGTAGTTTTTAAAATAAAGCATTTATACCTCTACACTTTTGGAAGAAAAATATGACGTAGCTTGTTTCTAAGAATGTCAATAAATTTTGTTTAATTAATATATTTCCTTTAATCCTAATTCCTACTCAACAACTGCGATGAGGGGTTACTATGCTGAAAAATGCATAGGGCTTCTGCAAGTACCTAGAACAGAGTCTCACTCTCTATCTGTCAGATTGTGATTATAGTCCAATTTACATCCTCCCATCGTGCCGTCCGTTCAGTGTTGGGGGGTCCTCAGGGATGGGGTGTCATCCTTTTTTTGTTGTTGTCCCCACTATTGGCTCTAACAACATTTGCCATCGTCGGCTGTAAAAAAATATCACCAGAGTTTTCTTGCATTTCATTTTGAATTTCCCCAAATAAGATTGTTAGAAAAATTATTATGTAGCGGCTACAATGATATATTTCAAGTGGTAGCAAGAGTAATATTACCAAAACTCTTAGTAATATACGGAGTATTAAGTTAGTGAATAGTGATTTATAAGTTGATAGTGATATTATGATTTCCATTTTTTTACCTTTTAATCATGTTTTTTCCATATATAAAAGTAATCACTTATTTAAATCTACTTTAAGATAGTACTTTGAAATATTAAAGAAAAAACTCCTGACTAAAATATTTTATCAAATGACCAGACTTTTTTTTGAAAGGATAAATGACCAGACTTATGAATGGATAAATATTGAACCATGTGGTGGTCTGGACAAAAAAAGAGACCATATTTCATTTCAATAAAATAAAATTGAAATGATTTAAACAAGCTATTTTCCCAAACTGAAATAAATTGAAGTTACGACACCAAGCGCGTAAGCCCCAATCGCCGCCGCAACAAGATCCTTCCCCGGCTTCACGACTGCGCCAAAGCCCGCAATCCCCACAACACCGAGCGGCACGCTCTTCAAAACCTCCTTCCCTGCCATTGAAACGACGGCCTCGGCAAACACCTCCACCTCGAATTCCTTGAACTGCGCCTCGTCCAATGTGATTTTCTCTTCTCCGCCCGTACGACGGGAGATGACGGCCTTGAGAGCTTGGTCCACTTGGATCCGGCCGGGAGGGTCAGGGACCCACCTGGAAACTAATGGGACGGTATGAAAGAGGATGGCGTGGAGGCGTTCGGTGGCGGAGAAGAGCTGGTAGGATCTGACTCCGGCGAAGGCCTGCTGACTTAGGCTGAGACAGTCGGCGAATACGGTGGTGCAGGCAGAGTCGAACTCCGGCGACGTTTGGAGGGTGTTTACGACTCGTTTGGACAGGGAGAGGCCCATTTTTTACTTTATTTTAGATATAACGTTTCAGGGATGTTCTGTTCTCAAAGAAGATGAAAATATCCAATAACCTCCTCGGAAATGTTTGTGGACACTCTGAAATATCTATTAACCTTTTCGTTTTTGTGTGTCTCTTTTTGTTTTATCACAATTTTTTAATAAATTGATTGGAAAAGTAAAAGTTCTGTTTGAGATTTGAGTATAATAAAATGAAATATTGTGAACATGTATTTCTAACTTTGAATTATCACATTATTAGAAATGTATAGTTGTGAATATGGGCAGAAAAAGAAAAAATATACTACCTATTATTCATACATATAGTCTTTAAAAGGAAACATATTTATACGTAAAATTCTAAATTAATTTTAGAATTTCATTAGTTTAGAATGTCTTCACAATGTACATGCAGTGGCGGACCCACTAAGGTCCTCACGGATCCCGGAACACCACCAAATTCTAAAAGGGTACCTATATGTACTATATATATTTATATAAAAGTTAGCAATGTATTCCCTTCGTCTCTTATAACTTTGTCAACTTTCCTTTGTAGATGTCTCATTAACTTTGTCACTTTCTCTTTTAAGTAAAGAATTTGTGGATCAAGTTAATTCTCTCTCCTCTCCACAAACCTCAACCACACAGTTTTTACTTTATTAATCCCCGTGACGGTCAAACTTGGCAAAGTTATTAGGGACGGAGGGAGTATGTATATAGATCTAAAAAACTATGAATGAGGGGGTGTTTGGATCTGATTCTCAAAACTGATTCTGCTCCTTCAGGGAGCAGAAGCAAAAGCTGGAGTGTTTGGGTGAAATTCCAGAAGCACTTCTGGAGCTCTAATTTACTCTCAGAATCAGTTTTTTTAGAAGCTGGGGGGTACCAGCTTCTGAAAACTGATTCTGATTCTGCTTCTGCTTTTAAAAAAGAAGCAGAAGCAGAATCAGTTCCAAACACCCCTCAATTAAAAACATGGAGCAGCAGAATGGAAGGATGCGTGATTTTAAAGTTTTCTTTGTGCGGATTACTGAGTTTGACTCCCACGTACGCCGCCCGTATTAGTTTTTTAAACGTATTTTAAGACCAAAACTACACCGTTTTGGTTGTTTTTAATCTCTGACCATATACCAAGTCTCAAGGTTGTTAACATCTCGATTTATGTATGATTTTATGATTCTACATTATACATCGATTCAAATCGCAAGTAAAAACGTAAACTCATAAAATCATACAAAATCGCGTAGAATTGCATAAAATCGTAACAAAACCGAATAAGGGGGTTTAGTGAAAATGGTTCAAATTTATTAAAATTAATTACCCGAAATTGATACATAATTCCAACAATGATGACATCAATAATATATTTAATGAAAATAATGAGTTCTAGTGTTATTTAATTATTTTTATGTTTTACATAAGTTTAATGTTATTATGCACCACATTTTCATTATAAAAATAGTTTATAAATCTTGTTTATGACCTTGTACGTATAGTTTTATGTAATAAAATGACATAATATATTCACTTGCAGCTCTATTTTAATATTTATTTATTTTATAATTATTAATATATGTTTGGTAAAATCTTACGATTTACGATTCAATTCACGATTTGGTTTTCAAGAACTTCTACCAATTTGATTCAAAAATGTGATTTTAACAATCTTGCCTAGTCTGGTGGACCACTACAATTGATCGCATCTCCTGATTCAGGATCTGTTGTTTCAGACCTCGACGCAATGACCTCAAAATGTGATAGCCGGACGACAGTCCTCTCAGGTAATACATGGCTCGAATATTGTGTACACACACATTCCTTTACATTTTATTTTGGGTGTTTACATGAACACCCTTGAACATAGGGGGATCCGCCTCTGACGCTCACGTCTACGTTTTATTGTTTACTCTTTACATAATTCATTTTTTTGGATTAATTTTTAAAATTATTTTAAATGTTAAGATTAAATTATTAAATTTAAGTATTTATGAATGTTTTTTCAATATTTTACGATATAGGATGTTAATTCAAATGAATTGCCATGAATAAATGAAAAATTGGATCAAGTAGTTGGTGAAAGTGAAACTAATTTGACTTATAATATACATGACTAACATATTGATTTTGAATCTTTGTAAGTTGATCCTGAATTGAGAAATAATTAGAGTTACATTAAGGTTGGGTCAAGGGACCCCATGATATAGCTCTATTTTTCTGGATCCGCTACTATGAACAATAGAAGTATCTCATTAATTTAATTAGAATCTCTCCACGATGGCTTTCCATTCTTCAGAAATGGATAAAAATTTATGTCTATCTCATGAATTTGATTCTATTTAAGAGATTATATGTGTTGGTTTCATTTAAACGAGTTTTTTCTCGAATTAATGCTAAATAACAAATTATTCACGAAATTAAGGTTGGGTTAAAAGTATTTACCAAAATACAGCTGGGTCTAACCATGGTAGGACAAAGTCGCCAAACGGTTTGACGACTTTGAAGTCGCCAAATGGTTTGGCGACTCTCACATGCGAACTACGAACTACGGAGGCAGCTTAATTAGGCAAAGAGAACTACGAACTACGGAGGCCCCTTAATTTCGTAAATAATTTTTTATTCAGCATTAATTCGGAAAAGGGATAATTTTTTATTCTATCCCTTTTTATTAAAAAAAACATGACAGTCCTATTTTGGAATTTTCAAACAGTTTTAGTCCTATTTCAGGAACTCCCTATTAATTGATAAAGTAAGAATAAAGTAAGAATGATTTAGAGCCACACAAACTTTGCCAAATATGGTATGAGACAATTTAAGTGGGACTTCCCGAAAAAGTAAAATGAGACAATATAAATGGGACGGAGGGAGTAAAAGTTACGATTGAGATTTGGATATAATAAAATAAAATACTGTAGATCGTATTTCTTTTTAAAAAAAAGGAAATGAAAAGTATATATAACACATCTAAAATTGAACGGGGAAGTATTTGTTTTGACGATTTCATTGTTTATCATGATGGTACTCAATAGTAGGGGTTGAGTGGTGCCATCAATGTAGGTGAAAAGGTCATAACCAACCAATAGAGCTTGAATTTGAATCTTCTATGAGAGGTACGTAGCATAGAGTAACAACATCAATCACATTGTGATTAAAAGTGACAACTTCTACTTAAAAAAGTGTTTCTCACCTTTTGTGTGAAAAGTGCATTTTATTTTTTCTATTACACAAAAACACTTATTTACCAAACACTACTAACTTTTACTTTTCAAAATCACTTTTTTCTCAAAAGTTACCAACTTTTACTACTAATCACTTTTTCCAAAATCACTTTCAAAAGTGCTTTTTTTATGCATAAGCAGTTGCAAACACTCCCTTAGTTAGAGCTATATAATGGGCTCGACCTACATAAAATTATTTTTGACAAATGCTAACTAGGATTTTCTGCACTACTGATCATTTTTTTTTTTAAATTTGAGATGCATGGGTGATTGGTCAGAGCCTACCATACCTCTACCCAGGGGTGTAGCTAGAGGGTGGTCAGCTCTGACCCTGACCCAATCCAAATTTCAAAAATGTCTATATTTTTTTAAAAATATTCTTTATACCGGCTCAGTCTAGTCTAGTGTTCTGGCTCCGCCCATGTCTCTACCTCCGTCCACGAATGAGGTACTATGCAAGGTAATTAATGGTCACTGAATGGCGAAAATTTTAACGAGTCCGTAATGGGTTCATTATAGAGCACACAACTGTTATACCCGGCAGTAAAATAGGATAAAGAATAACAATTAAATACTTTCCATAAGATCTCAATTTTTTTGAGAGGTGAGAATGTGAGATCTCAATATTCAAAACCATCCTAAGCTAAAGTAAATGTATCGTAAATTATATTCTTAAATTTTTAAGTCATATACCCATCTTTTATCAAATTTGAGGTTTTTGTGACTTTACAAGAATTTTAATATATAATTTTTGAATATGTAAATTTTACCCACCCTAAAATAGTTTTATTGTTAACATGGGTCACTTAGAGCATCTTTAATGATACAATGTGCACGGTGCATATGTGGCATGAGAGATAGTCACATAAATCTTAGCAAATAAATTATCTCTCTCCTTATTTGAATGATTTTATACAATTTTGGTAAATTTTTCTCTGCAATGTCAATCACATTGTCAACATCTAGACGGTCTCCTTGACATTGTAGAGAAAAACTTAGCAAAATTGTATAAATTCATTCAAATAAAGAGAGTGATAATTTATTTACTAATATTTATGTGACTATCTCTCATGTCACATGTGCACCGTGCACATTGTAGCATTGGAGATCTTCTTAACTTTATGATGTGTCAAACATCGTAAACGCAACATGAACCTTTACTCGGTCGGAGGTAGTTAAAAACATTCATTCCATCTCTTATTTATTCAAGTAATGTGAGTTAGTTTTTCCCGTGCAACGTACGGATCCATCGTCTAGTTAATATTTAAAACTAAATGGAGGGAATAAAAATTTCCAAATTGATTGCTTAATGAAATGTAATATATTAAAGGGAAAACTGTCAACTAGGTCCTCGAACTTTCATAAAAAGGTCAATTAAGTCCTTCTATAGGAGGTTCTGTCCAGCCGTCGCGATTTGGGACGGTTCCCAGTGGAATTTTTTGATGAAATGTTTTGAGCATCTTATTCATCAGATCTAGTTTACTCATACCAAATTTCAGCTAAAAATTCAATCGGGAACACATTCAAATTAATTCGTGAAGATAACTGCGCATTTTTGCGTTCTCGAATTAATCCCTAAATCCATCCCTGGCTATACATATGTATTTAGCTTGGGATGGTTTCTGAATTTTGATGTCCCCCGGGAATACGTTTCTTTTTTAATTTTTATCCGATTGACGAGTGTGAGATCCGCGTGATCTGTAGTGAGCCCGTTACGGGCTCTTTAAAATTTCTGCACTGAATGGTATTTGAGGTTTACATGAATCTAGAAATAACTCATAAGTCTGATATGCTCACGGAGTGAAATGCAAGAATATAGTGAAATAGTATTGTAAATACGTATTCTGTAGTTATGTAGGAGCCATCTTACATCCTCCCATGTTCTC